CAATTGAGGCTCCCTCAACCCAGGTGTGTCAAGTTGACACTAAAGCTATCCAGCACAAGTTTACTGGTACAAATCCCAGCTTTATTACCTTCAAGCTGCGTGCCCTTAAGTAGGTTACTTATTTTTTGAATCAGGTCCCATTCTGTAGTCCAGTCTGACCTTAATCCTCCTGCCTCAGCCTCCTGATTACAGATGTGAGCCACCACACCTGGCGAGGTTACTTCTACCGTTTTTCTCCCCATCTGTCACATCAGGATGAGACCTGCCTCATGTGTGTTGAGTAAAATGAAATGTGTAAGAACACAGCAAAGCCTAGTAAATACCAGATGCTGAGGAAAGCCTGCTAGCACTAATTTTAATTACATTAACTGTGTGCGTGTGTGTGTGTGTGTTGTGTGTGCGCGAGAGAGAGAGCGAGAGGAGAGAGAGAGAATTTGTTCTTTCTACCATATGGATTCTAGGGATTGGTTGTCAGGGTTGGTGACAAGAACCTTAAGCAGCTGAGCCAACTGTCACTATTGATAATAGAGAAACTAAGATTTTCTTGTTTAACTCTCTCAAGCACTCTGAGTAGGTATATACACAGTAATGTGTTATATACGGCTAGTTAGAGGGAACACTGGGACAGACCCCCAGGCCTGGTCGTTATAGTCTACTAATCTTTTTTATTTTTTATTTTTAGACAACTTCATGATGTAGCCCAGGCTGGCCTCAAACTCACTCTCCATCTTCCTCTGCCTGCTAAGTACTAGGATTGCAGGCACCTGCAACCATATGGGGCTTACCTCCACATTTTAAACAATAATGTTCAAAGTTCCATGAGAATATAAAGGCGCTGAAGAAGACACGTGTTGAGGTGCCCCCCCCCAACAAGAAAGGCTACCCTCATCACCATCACTCAACAGATAACTTCCTTGTCTCCTTTTGTTCCCATCCCTGCCTATTTCTAGTCGGCATCATGGAACACACACTTCTCCATCCTGGCCAAGGCAGTGGGACATAACCCCACTTTACCCACCAGGTCAACCACTGGCTAATGCCAGCCTAGAGTCCTCATATCCAATACACAGGAGCCAATCTTGTGTTCCGAGAGCTAGGGAGTGGGGTTCTAGATCAAGGATTGCAGCCTATAGTTCTCAGGCCAGGTGGGGCCAGCTGCCTTCAGGGTAATAATGATTTTTACAGACATTTAAATAGTTACATTGAGTATTTATTGACATTAATTTTGTTATTTGGCCTGTAGTGCCTCAAATTTTAGTACTAAAAAAAGAAATGAGGGGACCGGAGAGATGGCTCAGTGGTTAAAAGCACTGACTGCTCTTGGACCCAGGTCCTATTCCCAGCACCCACATGGCAGTTAGCAGCCATCCATAACTCCAGTTCCAGGGGAATCTACTGACCTCTGAGGGCACTGCATAACATAGGTGCACTTACATGCAGGCAATATATTCAAATACATAAAAATAATTTTAAAAATGAAAAAGTAATGAGACTAGACATGGTGACACACGCCTTTAATTCCAGTACTCAGGAGGTAGATCTCAGGCAGTCTGGGCCAGCCTGGTCTACACACAGTGTTCCAAGCCAGCTGAGGCTACATGGAGACCCTGTCTCAAAAAAAAAAGAAAGAAAAAGTTAGGCGGAAGCCATGCATGGAGCATACACCTTTAGTCCCAGAATGCAGGAGGCAGAGGCAGGTAGATCTCAGGCATTCAAGGCCAGCCTGATCTCCATAGCAAGTTCCAGGTCAGCCAAGGCTACATAGTGAGACCCTGTCTCAAAAAACAGAGCAGGGCTGGAGAGATGGCTCAGCGGTTAAGAACAGTGACTATGCTTGCAGAAGACCTGGGTTCGAATCCCAGCACCCACATGACAGCTAACAGCTGTCAGCAACTCCAGTTCCAAGGGATCCAACAGCCTCTCTGTCCTCCACCAGCATTGCATGACACGGGTGCACTTACTACATGCAGGCAATACACACATACATATAAAATAAAAATAATTTTTTTTAATTAAAAAAAGGGGCTGGAGAAATGGCCCAGCAGTTAAGAGTACTGGCTGCTCTTGCAGAGGACCTGAGTTCCATTCCCAGGACTCACACCAGGCAGCTCACAACTTCCTATTACCTGTACTCACATACACACACACACACCTCTTTAATCCCAACACTTAGAGGAGGCAGAGGCAGGTGGAGCTCTGTGAGTTCAAGGCCAGCCTGGTCTCCATAGCGAATCCAGGCCAGCTGTGGCTACAAGGAAACCTGTCTTAAAAAGACCACAAAAAATAATAATAATGCAAACATTTAAGAAAAAAAAAGGGGCTGGAGAGATGAAGAGATGGCTCAGAGGTTAAAGGGGCTGGAGAGATGGCTCGGAGATTAAGGTTAAGAGCACTGACTGCTCTTGCAGAGGACCCAGGTTTGATTCCCAGCACCCACATGGGGGCTAACAGCCATCTGTAATTCCAGTTCCAGGGGATCCGGTGCCATCTTCAGACCTCCTCATGCATTGTACAACATGGGTGCACTGACCTACATGAAGACAATACACTCATACACATAAAATAAAAATGCCCACAGAGACCAGAAGGTGTTGGATCCCCTGGAACTCGAGTTACAGAGATGGTTGTTAACCACCATGCGGGTGATGGACTTAAGAGCAGCCAGTGCTCTTAAGTGATGAATCATCTCTCCAGTTCCAATAAATCTTTAAAAAAAAAAAAAACATGGGGAGGCTTCTTAATTGCAAGTCCTGTCAGCCTGGGCTACATTAGCACCATGAGGCTCTAGGCTTGATTCCCCAGCACCAAAAAGAAAGAGAAGAGAAAAAGTTTGCTGACTCTTAATAGACCATAAAAGAAAATATACTTGAAGGCTGTGCATGGTAGTGACCACCTGTAATCACAAAACTGGGGAGGCAGGGGTTTGAGGCCAACCTGGGCTACAAAGCAAGATCCTGTCTTAAAAACACACAAAAAAAATCCAAAATCCAGGCATGGTGCAGGCCTGTAGTCCCAGCACTTTTAAGGCCAGCCTCTACTACATAGCAAGTTTAAGGCCAGTCAGAACCAGAGTGAGACCCTGTCTCAAAAAAAAAAAAAAAAAAAAGCCAGGTATGGTGGAGCACACCTTTAATCCCAGCCAGCACTCAGGAGGCAAAGGCAGACAGATCTCTGTGGCATCATGTCCAACATGGTCTATGTAACAAGTTCCAGGGAAGCTGGGACACTGGAGCTACAGGGAGACCCTGTCTAAAAAAAAAAAAAAAAAAAAAAAAAAAAAGTCAGCAATATAGCAGTAGGTAAAAGCATTTGCCGCCAAGCCTGACAACCTGAGTTCAATCCCCAGGATACACATGATAGAAGGAGAACCAACTCCTGCCAAGTTGTCCTCTGACCACATATACACACACAGTGAAAAAAAATTTTTTTTTAAAGTTCAAGATCAAGCCAGGCATGGTGGCGCACATCTTTAATCCCAGCACTTGGGAGGCAGAGGCAGGCAGATCTCTGTGAGTTCAAGGCCAGCCTCATCTACATAGTAAGTTCCAGGACAGCTGGGGCTACAGGGAGACCCTGTCTCAAAAAGACCAAAAAAGAAAAAAGTTCAAGATCATATTTGAGGAGGAAGCATGGAAATTTACATCCTGTTAATTGGTAGAGGTGATAAACATTACCATTGAAATTACCCAATGACTTTATCGACATACACAGGCGCCAAGGATTCAAGTGCAACCAATTATGACTAGTAATAATCAGATACATACAGATTAGAGATGCATGCGTCAGTGTTAGTAGTGAAAACAATGAGTCTTTCTGCAAGGAACAATATATTCTAAAATGAAATGGAGATCTTAAAAATATTTTTTAATTAAAAAATGAAATAAATAAAAAGTTCAAGATCTTGGGGCTGGAGAGATGGCTCAGTAGTTAAGAACACTGGCTGTTCTTTTAGGAGACCTGAGTTCAAATCCCAGCACCCACATGACAGCTAACAAGTGTCTGTAACTCCAGTTCCAGGGGATCCGACAGCCTCCTCTGTCCTCCTCGGGCATTGCACAACACGGGTGCCATTTACCTACATGCAGGCAATATACACACACACATTAAAAAAAAAAAAAAGCCAGGCGTGGTGGTACACACCTTTAATCCCAGCCCTCGGGTGGCAGAGGCAGGCAGATCTCTTTGAGTTCAAGGCCAGCCTGGTCTACATAGTGAGTTCTAGGACAGCTGGGGCTACTGGGAGACCCTGTCGCAAAAAAACCAAAAAAAAAAAAAAACCAAGATCAGCCTAGGCTACATAGTGAGACCTTGTAGAAAACAGAAACAGAAACAAAAACAGCCATGCATGCTCATGATGATATACACCTGTAATCCCAGCACTTAGGAGGTAGAAGACCATCCTTGGCTACAATAAGGGAGTTCAAGGCCTGTCTGGGTCACCTGAGACCTTGTCTCAAAAAACAAAAACAAAGGGCTGGAAATGGCTCAGCAGGTTTAGTGTTTACTGTTCCGGAGTTCAAGGCCTGTCTGGGTCACCTGAGACCTTGTCTCAAAAAACAAAAAGGGCTGGAAATGGCTCAGCAGGTTTAGTGTTTACTGTTCTTGTAGAGGACCCAGGTTTGGTTCCCAACACCCACAGGACAGCCCACAACTGCCTGTAACTCCAGGCCAGAGAATCCGATACCCTCTTCTGACCTACAAGGCTCCTGCATGCACACACATATACACATAAATAAGTCTTTATTTAAAAAATAAAAAGAGATGAAAGAAAATACACAGGAAACAAACCTAAAAAATTCCTCCCCCTGGGATGGTAGCAGTGTAGCTCAGTGGAGAGCACTTGTTTCCCTAGTGCAGACAAAGGCTGTAAGCCTTAATCCTCAATGCCAGGAAAGAAAAAAAACAACACCCCTCCTCATCCCAGATCAGCCAGGAGTATCCGTTCCTGTCAGGATTCCTGTCCCTAGACTGTGACAGCTTTCCTTCTTAGATTCCCCACCCTTGTCCCTGAAAACTTATGGCAAGAACCCAGAAAGTTTATCCACCCTCCAGGTGGGACGTGGCTCCATCTGGGGTACGAGTCTCCATTGTGGAGCCCGTCTTCTTCCAAACCCCTATGACCAACCTGGAAAGTCTAGAAAACACTCTGCAGGCCTGTTGGGCCCGGCTACCTCCAGCTACACAGGCCTGCTATGGAGAGGACTTCCTTACCACTTGTGAGTAGCTGGGCCTACAATGGGTGGTGAGAGGGCCAGAAAGGTCAAGGCCTACCCCAGCCTATTGGGAGGAAGTGTGCAGGAGGAAAAGTGTTGACACTCCCCAAACTGGGCAACCAGCCTACGGATCTAGAAGACAGGGCCTAAGGATGACTGGAATGGGAGGCCACTAACTACAACCATTCATGGGGCTACAGATCTACAAGTGCAGAGACACATCATGAACCTGATCTGTGACCCAGACCTAACGAAGGTGACTAGCTGCCTGGAGCACGGGCTGACTGCTCGTCACCCCTGAACCCGCTACAGCCCAGGCTGGGATGCCAAACTGCTCTGGCTGCCTGCCTCCTACCTTCCAGCCGGCCTGGTGGATGCTGTGTTCACCTGGGTCCTTCCCAAGCCTGCCCAATCAATCTACTGAGCCTTCCAGCAGAGAGACTGGTTTTCAAGGGCAAGGACATTCATTTCTGTCCCCAGCCTGGTACTACCTTGTTCCTGGGACAAAATAGGCACTCAATAAATATGAATTGCTTTAATTTTTTTTTAAATAGTCAAATGAAGGTGTCCGGTGAGAGTCAGACAAGATGTAAGTGCTAACTAAACACCTCTAAGCTACCCAAGGTCTCTGGCCTGTTTAGTGCCTGCAAAACCAGCTATTGTCCACTGGGGGGCATAAGAAACTGCCTTGCATCTACAGATGATCTTTGGAGCCACACTTGGAGGCATGGCCACCAGAGGGCACTTTTCTCTGATTTTCTACAAGGAGTAATGTTACAATTCTATGTTTGCACCAGGAATGGCTTTATCTAATTTGCCTGGGAGTAGGAGAGAAGGTGATGAAAAAGGGTCAGAGCCAGACTGGATAGTTTCCAAGGAAGAAGGAAATACTTAAACTCTCTTACTATACCTAAGGCAAGAATCAGGGACACTGGGCACTCAGGTCCCAAGCAACTTATAAACTATTATGGAAGGAGCCAGGTCTCCTTGAAAACTACAGAGCGAGTTTGCTGGGCTCACAAGGTGTGAAGAGGGCCCCAAAGCTGTCCAAAGTAGATATGGGCCAGGATCTACCAGCAGAGGCCCTTTGTAAGAAATCCCTTTGATGGCTTCATGAATGTTCTAGGAACACTGTTTGAAGCCTAAGCCAGGAGGGGACAGGGAGGGTACTCAGACACAGCTTCCTTGGATCCCCACTTCTCTCACTGCCAACCCAACCAACACCTTCAGCAAAATCCTCCTTTCCCTAACATCCCCACCCCAAATATGCCTGCCTATTCCCAGAAGACAAGGAGCATGGAGCAGGAAAGGGAAAGGGTCAAGTATCACTCTAAGACAAACTGAGGCCCTCTCTCTTTTAGGTCTGAAAAAATAATTCGTTTAATTGAAAAACCTGGAGAATGCACTCCTTTAGATGACAAGAGGCCAGACCCCTACATTACTTCATAGCCACTTCGGATACTCTTCAGCAGACAGCAGGCAAAGATGATTCCCAGGACCTAGAAGGGAAATGGAAATGGAAATGAGAGGAGAGGAGGCAGGGCAAGCTGCCCCAGACCTATCAAGCTACCCTACCCAGGCCAGTACCTCCTGCTGGTCAGCACCCTCTTACTGCTCCCCAGATACCAACCCAGAGCACTTCTCACCTCCACAAATGCAATGCCCAAGGATGCTGCAGCAACCAACAGTATATTCTGCCTCACCCAGATCCCAATCTTCTCCAGGCAGCCCTGAGGGGAAGGGGGGCATTGCAGGCATGAGCACCATCAGAAACGTCCTACCTCCCACCCTTCCTATCTCCTCCTGCCTTCTGTCTCTTTCTCCCCACCCCTGTCCTCCCCAGACCTTCCCATCCCTGGTCCTGTTAGCTGCCACCTGTCTTAAGTGGCAACATTTCCCACATTTCCCAGATCTCGCTCTCTCCTCCCTACCTGGGTATGGATCATAGGCTTCTTGAAATCAGTTCCACAGCCCTCGGTGATGTTGACGCAGCAGGAATCAGGGACTCTGTCCTTGGTCATGCCAGGGACGTTCTCCCAATCTGTGTAGTTAGTAGCCCCACAGCACTGAAACTAGAGGAGTGGAGAGGAGGGAAAAAAAGTTGCTAAGCAAACCTCTAATGTGGAGTTGACAGTCTTCTACCCCCATTACCACTCTTCCAGGCAATCCCACTCACCTTTTTCTGCAACTTGTCCAGAATTGGGGCCGTTTTATTGTCTTTGAGGTAATTCTGCATCTGCTGCCGGAAGTCCTTATTAAACTCTGATTTCACCTAACAGAAAGGAAGAGTGTTGTTGGGGGCAGAATTCCAGCACTGGAATACCACAGCAGGCTGAGATAGGGCTCCCCCATACCCCCTGTTCCCTGCTTACCTTATCTCTAAACACATAGCCAGCAATGGCCACAGCCACCTCCACAAGCATGATAAGAGACAGGAAGATGGCAAACTGCAGGAACACAAAGCAGGAGTCAGGTTTGAAGTCTGGACTTAAGGCTTGCTCTGACCCAGTCAATTCCTGGACCACTCCTGGAGCTCTTCCTTACCATCCCCCTCACCACAGAAATGCTCTCTGGTAGCCCCAAGACTCTTGCTGGTCGCACACCCCACTCACCGTAGTCATAAGACAGTAGTTCTCCTTGTAGGCCCCACAGCAGCCCACAAAGGCCACCAGGAAGAGGAAGGCACCCACTGCAATGATGACCACAGGCAACAGGGAGCCGGGAGTAGCCTCATGGGTAATGGTCTGATTCAAAACAACCTGAACGGCTACACCAATGGCAATCAATCCCACTGCACAGGCCTGCAGAGAAGGCAGGTGAGGGTTAGGTCAGACCCACAGTCCAGTAATCCTCTAGGGTGCCTGGCAGTGAGTGCACCGAGGACATGCACCTGACTCCCTCCAGGAGAGATTCTTACACCTCTAGGAAACACTGACTGGGAAGGAAGATCACCCATCCTTGCCCCATAAGTGAAGGCTGGGAAGTTGCTCAAGACACACAGAAGGGGTGATGGAGGTGCCATGCCTTCCTTTCAACAGCTCTTCAGCCAAGGGATTGACTACAGTGAAACAGCGCACAGAAAGCCTTGGCCCCAGGGCCCATTACTTTCTATGGGCTCCCAGCTAGTCTCTCCCAGAAACACTCCCTCATTCCAGTGACTAAGGTCCTTGGGCTGGCTAGGCCAGGGAGGAGGAGAAGGAAAGGGGGCAAGAGTGGCATGGTCCCTCCCAGGACAAACAGCAGCTTCCCAGGACAAGAACAAATTACAGTGGGCAGAGCCCATCCTCCCCCAAGCAGATGAGAGGGAAAGGAGGGAAGGGATAAAGAGAGCAAGGAGTGGGGGCAGCCCTGCAGCGATACCATCAGACCGTTGGCAGGTTGCCCCACTACCCTGTATCACAAGTAGTTGGGTCACCAGACAGGAAGGGCCAGGAGGGATGGGGGCGGTGCCCATGCAGGATGGCCATTCTCCGTCCAAACTAGCCTCAGAGGTCCGGGAAAGGGGGTGGCCGCGCTGCCTTCGGCCCTTTCCCAGGCTCTCCTTCCACATCTGGTCTCCAGCTGCCCTCCTCCTCGGGTCCCTCGATCCCTCACCACTCCCGTGCCAAGACTTCCCGCTCCCTGCCCGGACGCCCCAGAGCTTTGGTCCCCACTCACGCAAAAGGCCAGCAGGAGAACGTAGAGCAAGAACTTGACACATTTCATTCCTCCTTCCACCGCCATGGCTGCGGGGCCTGAGGTCGAGGGAGGGCGCGGGGATCAGCTGCGGCCGAAAGGCCGGAGCTCCTCAGCTCGCCACCGGCCCTCGCGGTCTGCCCTGCGTGGCCCCCATCGCGGCCCCTCCCACCCGGAAACCCGCGGTCCGATCCACGTCTCCCAGCCCCCTCCGCACGAGGGGTGGGGGCGCCGGCCAAGGAGCGGGGTCCGGGCCGCCACCCAGGGAGCCGCGGACTTGCCTCGGCCGGACCCCGACCCCGCCGCCACCCCGCGCTGGGCCTCCCCAAGCAGCAGCCTGCCCGCACCCTCGCCGCGCCCTGGGGCGTCGGGAACTTGGGACAAAGTTGCTCCAGGGCTGAGGGCGGCACCGGCCTACTCTTCCGCGCTGCGCACCGGTCCCCCGAGGAGGGCAGCCTCGGACCCCCGCCCCCGACCCCGGGAGCCAGACCTCACCTCTCCGACGCTGTGCGCTGCTCGGCCGCTGTCTAGCTGCGCCCCCCACTCGCGCCCCGCCTGCCGCGCGGCCCCGCCCCGGCTCCAGCACGGCCTCCTCCCCCAGGTGGCCGCCGGCCTCCTCATGTGACGCGGGAACAGCTGCGGCCTGAGTCACCGGAGCCGGGGGTGGGGGGGGGTCCTGAGCCCCCAGCCGGCCGGACTACGTGGCTCCTACCGGGAAGGCGGCTCCGCGGCTGGCCCCGGGGCGCCTTGGGTGCTTCTACCAGCGGGCCTCAGGTTCTGGGAAGCAAAGCAGAGTGTAGCTGAAGGATGGATGGCGGCCCAGAGTGGCCGGGAGGCAAAGTGGCCGGGTGGTCTACTAGAGGCTGCCTGAACCTACCCCAGAGCCCACCATGCACCTCCTGCTCTATCCTTGTTCAAGTCCTCGGCCCCCATTCCTGAGTCTGCCCAAAGCTGTAGGCTGGCTCGGATTGGGTGGGGCCAGAATAAACCTTTCCAGAAAGCCCCTGACTTTACGAGTCACCCAACACCCTGCACTAGTGATTTCTGACTCCAGCTTCTCCATTTTCGAGGACTCCTCAACTGAGAAAAGGAGAGGAGGCCCTTGTCTAGAGAACCATACTACAGGTCAGAGCCTGGTCCCTCCCTCTGGAGAAGGATTAGCTAGGACTATGCCCCCTTGCTCCAGGACCAGACAGTGATTAATGGAGATGTGCCAGAGGACACTATCCCAGGAACTTCCCCATCTCATTCCTCTTATCCGAGAAGGCAAAGCCAGGTGAGAGTTTGGAGCTAGAAGTACCTCCCTCCTTTTGTGCCACTGGTGGGCCCCAGAAGGAGCTGGAATGAAAGGTTAAAGGCTAGAACCAGCCTTCACACTCCTAACCTGGGCCCTACTCCTTACATTCTGCAAGTCCTGCCTCAAGAGTCCCAGAGCCCTAGGATTGGAGAGATGGCTCAGTGGTTAAGAGCACTGGCTGCTCTTGCAGAGGACCCAGGTTCAGTTCCCAGCACCGGTGTGATGGCCACCAGTAGTCTGTAACTCCAGTTCAGGAGACTGGACATACTCTTCTGACATACATGGAGACAAAATACTGAAAAAATAAGCATGTCAAAAAATTAAAATCCAGGCTAGGAATATAGCTCAGTTGGTAGAATGCATGCAAAAAGTCCTGACTTTGATTCTCGACTTGGCATAAATCAGGCTTGTAATATCAATACTTGGAAGGTAGATGCAGGAGTCTTAAGAGTTCTGGGTCATTCTCAGCTACCTAGTGAGTTCCAGTCCAGTCAAATAAATAAAGCAGCAGCAGCTTGGATGTTAGCACATACCTGTTATTCTGACACTCAAGAGACAGAAGTAGGAGGATCGATAGAGGCCAGCTTGGGTTACACACTGGGACCCTGACTCAAAACAAAAAAGGAGAATGGAGAGATGTCTCAGTGGATAAAAGCACTTACTGTGCAAGCATGAGGATCCATCATCACATAAAAAAGCAGGTGTGGCACCACAAGTGCCTGTAACCCCAGCACTGTTAGGGAGAGACAGGAAGATCACTAAGGCTTGATGTCCACCAGCCTAACTCCAACTGTCTCAAGGAAATAAGATGGGGTGTGACAGAGCAGGGACCCAATATCTCCTGACCTCCACACACATACATGAGCATAGAAGAGAGAGAGAGAGAGAGAGAGAGAGAGAGAGAGAGAGAGGAGAGGGAGAGAGAGAGAATATGTAAGAAAATAGAACTAGAAATCATGTTAAGTGAAACCCTGTCTCACAAAAGGAGGCATCATATGTTTTCTCTCTATGTGGAATCTAGGAGGAATTTTTTATTTATTTTTATTTTATGTGTACAAGTGTTATGCCTGCATGTATGTAAGAGCACCTGTGTCATGCAGTGTCTGAGGATGACCGAAGACATCTGGTCCCCTGGAACTGAAATGAATGATTGTTAGCTGCCAGGTGGGTGCTGGGATTCAAACCTGAGTCTTCTGCAAAAGGAGCCAGTACCCTTAACCACTGAGCCATCTCTCCAGCCCTAGGAGGCATTTTTAAAGGACATGAAAGTAAATGGATTATTCGGAATGTGGAAGGGAAAGGAAGCAGAGGGAGAATTAAAACAAGGTAATAGAGGGGTGAATATGATCAAAGTAAGTTATATGTGTGTGTGGAAATAATTAAATCCTCTTTACAATGTGAAATTAATTTTTTGATGTAGAGAAGGCAATCTAGGCTGGGTTGAGATGCAGTTTCCAGAATCCTGTCCTTTCTGTAGACTACACCAAGCACATTCTGGAACTTGTCCTCATTCATCGTTGCAGGCAGGATATGGAGGAAGAGTCAAGATGCCAAAGAAAAGAGTATTCATGAGTTTCCTTACTGTGCTGCCACTAGAGGCCAGGCCTGTGCTGGGCACAGGGCAGCAAGGCAAGAAAGAAAGTGGGCCTGCCTTCTGCCAGAAGGCAGAGCCAAGTTCTGTCCACACTGAAGAAAGGCGGTGTGAGCCGTATGAGCCCAGAGAGGGAGTGAATTTCTCAGAGGTGAATGGTGTTCTTCAAGGTTACCTTGAAGAATAAAGGGAAAAACTCTCCATTTCAGGAACAGGGAAATAGTCAACTACAGAAAAGGAGCACTTTTTTAAAGTATGTGGGAGATTGGGTTGGCTACTTCAAAAGGCTTTGAAAGGATGTGGTGAAGATGGCAGGAAGATGGTCTGAAGATCAAGACTGAAGACCTGAAATATGGAATAACCAAGTACAATGCTTGGTCCTCAACTGAATCTTTGTTGGCGCAAACCAGTTGCAAAATGGGGAACGCGTCTATGGAATGAGAACTAGACATGCAAAATAATTTGCTAGGCTTGGAGGGTAGCTTAGTGGTAGCTTGTCTAGCATGCACAAGGCTCTGGGTTCCAGCTCTACCATTGCAAAAAAAAATGTTTGTTAGCTTGGATAATAAAATTATGCTGAGAAATTAGTCCATTTCTTTAAATATGTATACTAAAATATTGAAGGGTAGAATGTCATGCCTGTAATGTGTTTTGGAATTCACAAAACAGTTAATGAAGCAAAAAGATGATCTAGGTAACAGAACTGATGAGGTCTAGGAGGCCACATTGGGTATGTTCCAAAGACAGTGGTGGGGGCTGGAAAGATGGCTCAGCAGTTAAGCACACTGGTTGTTCTTGCAGAGGACCTGAGTTTCTAGCGCACACATGGAAGCTAATAGCTGTAACTCCAGTTCCAGGGGATCCAATGCCCTCTTCTGGCCTCTGCACGCATTGCACACACATGGTACACTTACATACATGCAGGCAAAATACTCATACACATAAAATAAAAATAATTTTTTTGACACAGGGTCACCTTGTAGCCCCACCTAACCTGGAACTTGATTTGTAGACCAGGCTAGCCTTGAACTTGCAAAGATCTGCCTGCCTCTACCTCCCAAATGTTGAGACTAAAGGCATGTATCACCATGCCCGGCCTAAAATAAAAATAAATTTTTAAAAAATTTTAAAGCAGTGGTGATGGGAAGAGCCATATTGGAAGCATTTGAGAAGTGCTATGATCCTAGACACTGCACTTATATTGAATGAATAAATGTTAAGGAACCTGGAAGACATTGAGAACAGCCACTGTCCACAGAGAGAGAATGAAGGCATCACCCAGGGAAGGAAATGGTCACTGAGTGTAGGAAGAGTAAAACCGGCATCCAGATATAGATGTCCTACCAGGACTTGGACATGTGAAACTCAGGGTCAGACTGACAAAAAAGTGATGTCAATGCGGGGTGTGGGTACACAAACCTGTAGGCCAAGAGACCAAGGCAGGAGAACACTTGAATCCAGTAGTTCAGGGACAGCCTGTGTAACACAGTGAGACCCTGTTTGACCTATGAATGGGCAAGCAAGAAAAGAAAAAACAGCCTCAGGGAGGCTTTATGTTTTAGAAACATAAGGGTGGGGGCTAGAGAAATGGGTCAGTCAGTTAAGTGCTTGCCATATTCAAGCATGAGGGCCTGAGTTCAATCCCCAGAACCTGTGCAGAGACATCAACATGTACACAAACACACACACACACGCACGCACGCACGCACGCACACAGTTGAGGGGGAGTCAAGGAAGCAGTAAAAGGGCTAAATGGGAACAGATGCTGCAAAGCTGGGCCTCTGCACTATGCCCAGTTTCGTGTTAAGAACCTTCATCAGCCAAGTGTGGTGGCTCATGCCTGTAATCCCAGCACTTGAGAGGCAAATCTCTGTGAGTTCAAGGCCAGCCTGGTCTATGTAGCGAATTCCAGGCCAGCTGGGGCTACAGCAGGGAGAACCTGTCTCAAAAAAAAAAAAAGAACTTTCATCAGTTCACTCAGGATTAATCCTCACAACAACCCTGTGAGGTCAGTATTATCATTCCTGTTTTACATTTATTTAGGTGTGTGTGTGTGTGTGTGTGTGTGTGTGTGTGTATGTGTGTACACATGCATGCCACAGCACTCATGTGGAGGTCAGAGGACAATTTGCAAGAGTTCTCTCCTTCCACCATGTGGGTTCTGGGATTCAGCTCACATCTTCAGGCTTGGAGTCAAGTGCCTTGACCTGCTGAGCCATCTTGTGGGCCTCCTTCCTGTTTTAGAGATAAGGAAGCAAGCTTGGAGACATGAAGTAACATTCACAGAGTTCAGGCCAGTTAAAGACAGACTTAAAATTTGAACCCAGATCTCTGGAAGTTCTAAAGCCCATACTTTTTCCCTTTCACAGAAGGCCTGGGAAAAAGAAAGAACAAGAAAGGGGGCAGGGGCAGAGGGACAAGGTGCTAAACAGCAGTGCCCAAAAGTGCCAAGTGTAGACAGGTCAACTTGGTTGAGAAGTAGGAGTGACCATTAGGTGTGTTAGTCCCCTGAGCTGTGTCAGGAGTACATGCTGGGGACCAGGAACAAGGGTAAGAAATGGAAATAGCCAAGTGGGCAGGGGGAGAGCAGAGGTGAAGGTAAAAAGAAAAGGGCTCTCCCTCCTAAGGGAACGCCAGGGAAAGGGCCAGGGCAAGCTGCAAATTCACAGTGGTGGCAGCAGCTTGGTACAGCAGTATG